TCCCCTGAATTTTTAATTTAGCTCGACACCATTTTCAGATATTTGTTTATTGGTTTCTATAAGTAAAAAGCATGAATGTTGGTAGTGAAATCTCAGTACAAATAGAGAAAGCATTTGGAGGAAGCTCCAATGCAAACCGAAACAACGCTTCCCAAATGTCAATAATTCATATTTTATTATATTATTTGATTAAAGTCTATGCCAATCTAAGTGTATATGCATTTATCTTTATTATATATTTTCACCATTATTTTCTGTTGCCTAAGATGTCTCAAATAAAAAATATATTAGAATGACCATGTTTTATAGTTTGAGTGTGGATTGTGTGACTGCATTGATATGGGAGACAGTTTAAACGAAGTCTTTTTAAAGGGTGACGAGGGGGGTGAGTCCATTAAATTTGAGGGGTGACAGGTGGGTTGGGTTAATTTGATTGGAGGGGTGACAGGTGGGGCGAGTCTATTTTATTTGAGGGGTGACAGGTGGGTCGAGTCCATTAAATTTGAGGGGTGACAGGTGGGTTGAGTCTATTCCATTTGAGGGGTGACAGGTGGGTCGAGTCCATTAAATTTGGGGGTGACAGGTGGGTTGAGTTAATTTGATTGGAGGGGTTACAGGTGGGGCGATTCTATTCCATGTGAGGGGTGACAGGTGGGTCGAGTCTACTATATTTGAGGGATGACAGGTGTGGTAAATCTATTCGATTTCAGGGGTGACAGGTGCGGCAAGACTATTTGGTTTGAGTAGTGCATGCAAGTAAAACCATCCCCAAATTATATTATATTGCCGATTAGCTATATTAAAACTCATTTGATTTTTAAAAACGTGTCAGCAAAGATTTGAGAGGATATAAATCAGGATATCATGCAGAAACATTTATTTATTGGTCTCAAAATTTTCTTTTTCACAATTTTATAAAAATGTAATCTTTTTATCTGCATATTCGGGACTTTGTGGAAATAATTAAATCTAGGTCTTAAAATTAACTTAAAGGATCTATATATTTCTAATATAATTTTTATAAGACCATTTCAAATATATCCGAATATACAGACATAAGCAAATTTCAACTGTTGCCATTTCAAAAATGTGTCAGGATCTTTTAACTTTCTCTTTTTTCCGTTTAAATTTAAAACTGAAATATTCATTTGATGAGAAGGTCGTGAAATTTAAATAAATTTTCTGTAGCATAAACCAGAACACTTCAAAATGGACCTTTATTAAACAAGGAAAAAATATCCGGGTTAATTTTTTTCAAGAGATAAAAAACTGTCTAACTATAGAATAAAATGAGGAATAGATTTTCAAAATGCTGATAAAATTTGAAAGTGCTTGGACAGTAATCATATCTTTATCTTTAATTTTACCCCTTTCCCTTTATTATTATTACTATTTTTATCGTCATAATTTCATATCAAAGAGAAGAAAAAACACGGAATTACAAACGTATTTATTCAGCTTTAATACAATAAATGCATGAATGTCCGTAGGGTTTCAGAACTTGAATGAAAGGCTTGGTTGCTAGAAGGCGGTTGTCGTGCAGTACTCAGTATCTCAGTGGACCTCTGAAAGGAAAAAATTAATCTTTACAATATCTGACTAAACGGTCAGGCATCAAAGCGAAAAGGGCACTGTAAATGATGCGAGTGTTCACTAACTTGTCCCATATTCAGGCTCAGATAGCACCCCAAAAAGGCAAACGATATCGGGGTGGCCTTACGCCAAAATTAAGATCTGAAGTTAACCATCAATATATTTGAGATATCTTGCTCTGAAAAAAATTACCATTGAAAACATTCTTTCTTGGATGCAATAACAAGGACTTAAATTTATTTTACCTACTATTTAATGTAGTAATATCTAAAATCGTTTACATTACGCCTTTAGGGGCCATGTTTAGTTTTATAATGAATCGTTCCCCGTATTTCAACAATACTTACAAAAATTTAGTAGTACATGTATAATAAAATTAACAAACCTTCAAAACTGATTTTAAATTGATAAAAAATGAAACCTCAAAGAGACAATGGAACGCTAAGATAATTCAAATCAAAAGTTTCTATTTCTTTTTAAATTATCGCCATTGTCGTAAGGGACACGTTTGAATTTCTGATAAATTTTGGTCATAAAATTGATGTACACGTTGATGGGGCACTCTTGTCTTTGGATCAATAGCTCAGAACTTTGACAGGTACGCCATAACTTCTAAATTAGTTCGTGATCCTTGCTGACATGCTTACTTTTTCGCAGTATTCTGAGTGACACAAAAGAAACGACAGGCAATATATAACAAAGAATCGTAATATAAAATCTTGTCGTACATTTTCTTGCATTCTTCTACGCTTTTCTATCTACTGAGAGAGGTTACTGAAGAAAAAGTGATACTTACGAAACATGCATTTACTTCTACGCCTCACAAAAGCTCGTCCTTGCCACTGCACCACAAAAGCTGTTCCGTCTTCACTCTGCTGTGTCCTACTTCCTACTGAGCATTCGGGAAGACAGCTCGCACTACGATGAGCAACTTATTGTTATGCAAATTAGAGACAGGTGTGGCTCATTTTAGGTGAGGGGTTGTGGCTGAATCTGTTCACGAATGTTCACGGTCAAATACATGTACGTGTAGATTTGATTGAGGTCCACTTGTTAAAATACACCACTTTATTCCACAAATATTGCCCATGCGTCTTCCATCATACTTTTTCATATTTTTTAAACATTACTTCCACAAAACTCAACACCAGGGAAAGAGGGTGAAAGCTGATATTTTTGATTGAAAAATAGGCGTATCTATAATCCTGTTGTTGACATAATGGAATGGATAAATCCTAGTTCTGTTCGGATCCAAGTGCCACAAGCAAATAAATAAATAAATAAATAAATAAATAAATAAATAAGCATCGAGAAACCTATGTCCCATCATGTAAAGGGCCAAACAATACGAATTACGATATTTTATAGCAATAATGAATCTAATCGGTAGAAATAGTTATGGATCAAATAAGACAGGCCCTTTCTAATTAACTGGCCATTGTCGGGACAACATGATAACATCTTTGCTCAGCGGAGTTTTATCTGTCTGTCATGAAAAAGTACACAAGGTTTAACTTTTTATGCTATTCGTTCTAAACGTTCTATGTCTAAATCAATATTTCCAATAGTTTTATGGAGTTTTAATTTTTCTTGGATTTTAACAGGAAGCATTTCTATCTGTATTTGTGGATTTATAGGCACGTTACCTGTATGTTATGAAACGCATCTGTCGGGACGAGTATCTATCCAGACTTTTTTGTATAGAGCTTAGCCCAGGGGAATTGACCTATCTCTGTCTCCTCTACCACATTGGGCCACTTATCCAGACCTCTTCTAACACAATAGGGACTTCAATGCAGATGTACTCTATCAAAATGGGGACATTTATGCAGATCTCCTCAACACAAGGGGCACTTATGGAGATAGATATCCTCTAACACAATGGGGACACTTCTGCAGATTCCCTCTAACACAATTCCAGGTATAACAATGAAGTGATCGGTTACTGCACGGTTTGCGTGGGCATTTCATTGTCCCTTCTTATGATGGACGCAATAATAACATTTTAATATTGTAAGGGTGTGTTCACAATGAAACTATCATCCTAGGTGGATTGATCCTACTCTGACTAAGAACTGTAAGGTTAATCCCCCTCTAGCTGCTTGAGGAGGTGTGTTATTCAATCTGAATCTGTTTGCATTCATCAAGAGTCCTCCCGGCGTTGGATTGATCTACCTGATACGCTAACGTAATTGTGAGCACACCCTATAACGTCTATCTCTCTTGTCGACGTGCAGTTCATCTATACCGGTGTCAGAATAACTTATATCTATGCCCCTCTGTCTGTGTTACCATTCAAACAGATATTTGGATCGATCTATCTCCCTGGGGAGTCTCACTAAATTGCTATCAACGCAATCGGCTTAAATGTCTGTGACGCCTAGTAAAGCTGTTAGGGGGTAAGTATCTTTACCCCCTAACTGATTCGGTAGGCGTGACAGACATTTCAGCCTGTTGAGCTGATAGCAATTTAGCGTGAACCCCCAGGGAGTTAGATCGATCCAGATGGATCGATCTAAGACCCCATTTCCAGAGATTAGATCGATCTACTTTAGATCGAACTAACTCCCTGGGGGTTCACGCTAAATAGCTGTCAGCCGAGCGGACACGAAAGTTAATTACCCCCTTACAGCTTGTAGTAGGCGGGACGGACATTTAAGCCGGATTATCTGACAGTAATCTAGTGGAACTCCCCGCGGGGATAGATCGATCTAAAAGCTCTGGGAATACAGCCTAAGTATGGGAACTCGGTCTATGTACGTCCCTGCATCATTACTCACCCCAACCCACCAGCTGCTAAACGATAGTTAGTTACCCCCTAAAATCTTCAGAAGGCGTGCCGGACATCAGAACCGCTTAAGTAGAATGTAATTTAGTGAGAAACCCCTCGGAAATGGGTCGATCCTGCTAGATCAATCTAGGTATGGGAATGGGGACTTAGTTGTCGGTTACAAAATTATTGTATGTATACTTTAATTTTGTCTACCATGTTAGAGGCCCCTGATATCAGATGGTAATGTAAATGAGGGTGTTGCAATTGATGGATGACAAAAGCAAAGAATGACTGAGAAATGTCAGAGTAACCCGTACCAAAGGTCATCGTTCGCCCTCTAAAATACCCAAATTTTTCGTAGGCCCCGAACCCCACGACAACGGGGGTAGGGGTGGTGGGGAATCAGCTTCGCATCCGCAGACCCCCCTTCAAATAATCCTAGATACGTCCCTGCGATCTCACCTTTTTGTAAAAAGACTAACCTTGAAAATAATTCAAATAAATGCGGGTATTTGTCTGAACGAGAATACGCCATTCCTTTTTTACATTATGAAGCTGCTTTTGTTTCAGGCGAAAATGTAACCTGCATACTGGGACATTGGAAAACATTTCCAAGAAAAGAGAATGAAGCGCTTTGTATTTTTTAGTCGCATAATATTGCGTCATTATACCGGTAGACGCGTGGCTTATTCCTGAGCCAAACTTATAAAGGACTTATGATAAGGAAAGCTGTAGCATAACAGTTTCAACTGAAAAGTTTACTAGTCTGTTTTAACAAGACAGAGAAGAAATGTTTCGAATTCTATCTTCCTTGCAAAAACGTACAGTGTACTTTCTGCCAAGGAGAGGCCTGATGAGCACAGCAATTCAACCGAAGAAGGTGAGCGAATATTAGGTGCTGTTCTTAAATATATTTAATCGTGATTAAAAAAGATTAAAAACTAGATTAAAATACAGAAATAAACACACAAGCACACACACACACACACACACCGCACGCGGATTCTACAAGAAAAGGTAGCATGGTGCTCTACAAGCAATCACATTGTTACATGGTTAATTTATAAAAATACCAAATATATCTAGATATTATATGCGTGTTGCATTAAGGGTGTGTTTTTTAAACATAAAAACATTAAAAAATCATAAAAACCAAGAGCGTGAAAAAGCTAGATGATGGTAAGACGTACAGTCGAAAAGTCAAAAATAAATTTCTAGATTTTCCATTTTTTGTCAAGATATTACACTCATGTAGAAATTGTCTTCGACATAATAAATTTCAATTTCAAATTTTGTTTTGAGATAAGAAAGAAGAGACAGGGATACTATACGTACGTGTAATTTAAGGCCTGGAAGAAAGTCCAAACATTACACCTTTTCTTTGTAAAAAGTATAATTCGTATGTTCCATTTGTTACTAATCAAGCGTTTCGTACCTTCCCAGGTGATTTTAATTCTATTGCCACGCAGAAAATATGGCGAACAATTTCACTCTCAGCTCCACAAAAAGAGAAATTCTTTGACATTGAAGTAAAAATTTATTCCAGTATGACTGCACGACGTAAAACCTGGTATATAACGCTGACAGATGTATCAGTGCGTACACGCCTAGAGTAGCACATTCTTTCAACTTTATTAAAGGGCACGTTCCCATTGAGACTATAGGTCTACGTACGATCATATCGATCCAATTCCCCGGGGACTCTCGCGGCATGCCGTCAGTTTTGCAGTTTAACACTCCTGCGGTTGAGTAGAATACAGAAAAAACGATGATTACACGAGTACTTTGAAACAAAAGGGTGCGTTTTAATGTGTTAAACTGATCGCACTCAGAGAGAGTCCCTGCGGAGTTGGATCGATCTAGTTTCAATGGGAATAAGTGCATAATCTATTTTTATATAGATACCGACTGCAAACCCTGAGGTTAAAGGATCGGAAGCGTGGAGACGACAGATCCCTACAGGTACCGGGACACGATGTGGGAATCTCGATTCCGCTGGTGACGGCTTTGTGGCGGCAAACTGGGGAACCTTCATCAAAGGCACATAGTCGGTCGGCGTGAAGATCCATCAAGCCCGTATTGTGGTTTTCATGGACTTTGGTTGACTGAAATTCAGAAGTGTTCTTCAATTTTGCCTGATATAACATTATCTGAAATTACCTTTCTACATGTAGGTACATGTAACATGTGCAAGAATCACCATTTTGAGAATCCGACTCTGATTCAAAGATAATAAAACTAAAAGGACATTTTAATCCATCCTTTTCGTGAATTGTTAGACTGTATATTCCTTTGAGCAAAAGAAAATAACATCTTTGCGGCTGGTTTTCTGGTAAAACAGACTAAATATAACACTTATTAGCATATTAGCAAGGATCACATACTAATTTAGATGTTAATACCTTATTTGTCACAGTTCTGAGCTTTTGATCCAAAGTTTGTCCCATCAACGTGTACATCAATTTTATGCTCAAAGTTTATCAGAAATTCAAACGTCCCTCTTGACGACAATGGCGATTAAAAGAAATAAAATAACCCTTTTGAATAATCTTGTGGTTACTTTTGCCTCATTGAGGTTTCATTTATTATCAATCTAAAATCAGTTTTGAAGGTTTGTTTATTTTTTTATACATGTACTTGTAAAATATTTGTAAGCAGTGTTGAAATACGGGGAATGATTTATAATAAAACAAAATATGGCCCCTAATTGCATAACGATTTTAGATGTTACAACATTAAATAGTAGGTAAAATAAATCAACGTCCCTTGTTACCTTCACAAATTATAGAAGTGTTTTCCAGGTTAATTCTTTTCAAAGCAAGATATCTCAAATATCTACATCATTAACTTCAGATCTTAATTTTGGCGTAACGCAACCTAAATATCGATTGCCTTTTTTGGGGTGTTATCTGAGCCTCAACATCAGTAAACACCCACATCGTTTCAAGCAAAAGGTAATTTAGTGAGAAATCCCTCTGGGATGGGTCGATCCTGCTAGATCGATCTAGGTATGGGAATGGGGTCTTAGTTGTCGGTTACAAAATTATTGTATCTGTACTTTAATTTTGTCTACCATGTTAGAGGCCCCTGATATCAGATGGTAATGTAAATGAGGGTAAGGTTGTAATTGATGGATGATAAAAGCAAAGAACGACTGTAAACCGTAACAAAAGGCACCGCTCGCCCTCTAAAATACCAAAATCTAAAGGGCCCCGAACCCCACGACAACGAGGCGTGGGGGTGGGGGTGGGTCGGCTTCGCATTGGCAGACCCCCCCCCCTTCAAATAATCCTGGACCCGTCTCTGCGATCTCACCATTTTGTAAAGAGACTAACCTGGAATATAATTCAAATAAATGCGGGTATTTGTCTGAACGAGAATACGCCATTCCTTTTTTACATTATGTAACCTGCATTCTGGGACATTGGAAAACATTTCCAAGAAAAGAGAATGAAGCGCTTTGTATTTTTTAGTCGCATAATATTGCCTCATTATACCGGTAGACGCGTGGCTTATTCCTGAGAGAGACTGATAAAGGACTTGTGATAACGAAAGCTGTAGCATAACAGTTTTAACTTAAAAGTTTATTAGTCTGTTTTTGACAAGACGGAGAAGAAATGTTTCGAATTCTATCTTCCTTGCAAAAAACTTCGGTGTACTTTCTGCCAAGGAGAGGCCTGATGAGCACAGCAATTCAACCGAAGAAGGTGAGAGAATATTAGGTGCTGTTATTAAATATATCTAATCGTGATTAAAAAAGATAAAATACTAGATTGAAATACAGAAATAAACACACACAGGTGGATTTTACAAGAAAGGGTAGCTTTGTACTATACAACACTCACATTGTTACATGGTTAATTTAATGATAATGAATAAATCTAGATATTAAATGCGCGTTGCATTAAGGGTGTTTTTAAAAATAAAAACATTTAAAAATCATAAAAACCAAGAGCGTGAAGAAGCTAGATGATGGTAAGACGTACAGTCAAAAAGTCAAAAAGTAAATTTCTTGATTTTCCTTTTTTTTTCTGCCTAGAAATTACACCAATGTAAAAGATTTATGTTTGACAGAATAGATTCCTGCTTCAAATTTTATTTTGAGATAAGAAAGAAGAGACAGGGATATTATACGCACATGTAATTTAAGGCCTGGAAGCGTTGTTTAGAAACTCCGAACATTACACCTTTTATTTGTAGAAAGTGAAACTCTTTTGTTCCATTTGTTACTAATCAAGCGTTCCATACCTTCCCAGATGATTGTAATTCTATTGCAACGCAAAAAATATGGCGAACAATTTCACTCTCAGCTCCACAAAAAGAGCAATTCTTTGACCTTGCAGTAAAAATTTATTCCAGTATGACTTCACAACGTAAAACCTGACATATAACGCTGACAGAAGTATCAGTGCGTACACGCCTAGAGTAGCACATTCTTTCAACTATAGTAAAGGGCTCGTTCCCATTGAGACTATAGGCCTACGTACGATAAGCTCGATCCAACTCCCTCGGAGACTTTCACGATATGCCGTCAGTGTTGCAGTTTAACACTTGAGTAGAATACAGAAAAGCCGATGATTACACGACTGCTTTGAAACAAAAGGGTGCGTTTTATTGTGTTAAACTGATCGCACTCAGAGAGAGTCCCTGCGGAGTTGGATCGATCTAGGGAGACCGATAGTTTCAATGGAAATGAGTCCACAATCTATTTTTATATAGATACCGACTGCCAACCCTGAGGTAAAAGGATCGGAAGCGTGGAGACGACAGATCCCTACAGGTACCGGGACACGATGTGGGAATATTGATTCCGCTGGTGACGGCTTTGTGGCGGCAAACTGGGGAACCTTCATCAAAGGCACATAGTCGGTCGGCGTGAAGATGCATAAAGCTCGAATTATCGTTTTCATAGACTTTGGTTGAGAGAAATTCCAAAGTTTTCTTCAATTTTGCCTGATATGACATTATCTGGAATTACCTTGCTAAATGTACATGTACGTAGCATGTGCAAGAATCACCATTTTGAGAATCCGACTCTGATTCAAAGATAATAAAACTAAAAGGACACTCTAATCCATCCTTTTCGTGAATTGTTAGACTGTATATTCCTTTGAGCAAAAGAAAATAACATCATTGCGGCTGGTTTTCTGGTAAAACAGACTAAATACAATACTTATTAGCATATTAGCAAGGATCACGTACTAATTTAGATGTTAATACCGTATTTGTCACAGTTCTGAGCTTTTGATCCAATGACAAGTGTGCCCCATCAACGTGTACATCAATTTTATGCTCAAAGTTTATCAGAAATTCAAACGTCCCTCTTGACGACAATGGCGATTAAAAGAAATAAAATAACCCTTTTGAATAATCTTGTGGTTACTTTTGCCTCATTGAGGTTTCATTTATTATCAATCTAAAATCAGTTTTGAAGGTTTGTTTATTTTTTTATACATGTACTTGTAAAATATTTGTAAGCAGTGTTGAAATACGGGGAATGATTTATAATAAAACAAAATATGGCCCCTAAACTCGTATTGCATAACGATTTTAGATGTTACAACATTAAATAGTAGGTAAAATAAATTGACGTCCCTTGTTACCTACACTAATTATAGAAATGCTTTCCATGTTAATTCTTTTCAAAGCAAGATATCTCAAATATCTATATCATTAACTTCAGATCTTAATTTTGGCGTAAGACAACCTAGATATTGATTGCCTTTTTTGGGGTGCTATCTGAGCCTCAACATCAGTAATCACCCACATCGTTTCAAGCAAAAGGTAATTTAGTGAGAAATCCCTCTGGGATGGGTCGATCCTGCTAGATCGATCTAGGAATGGGAATGGGGTCTTAGTTGTCGATTACAAAATTATTGTATCTGTACTTTAATTTTGTCTACCATGTTAGAGGCCCCTGATATCAGATGGTAATGTAAATGAGGGTGAGGTTGTAATTGATGGATGATAAAAGCAAAGAACGACTGTAAACCGTAACAAAAGGCACCGCTCGCCCTCTAAAATACCAAAATCTAAAGGGACCCGAACCCCACGCCAACGAGGCGTGGGGGTGGGTCGGCTTCGCATTGGCAGAACCCCCCCCCCCTTCAAATAATCCTGGACCCGACCCTGCGATCTCACCCTTTTGTAAAGAGACTAACCTTGAATATAATTCAAATAAATGCGGGTATTTGTCTGAACGAGAATGGAACATTGGAAAACATTTCCAAGAAAAGAGAATGAAGCGCTTTGTATTTTTAAGTCGCATAATATTGCGTCATTATACCGGTAGACGCGTGGCTTATTCCTGAGAGACTTATAAAGGACTTATGATAACGAAAGCTGTGGCATAACAGTTTCAACTTAAAAGTTTACTAGTCTGTTTTAACAAGACAGAGAAGAAATGTTTCGAATTCTATCTTCCTTGCAAAAAGCTTCGGTGTACTTTCTGCCAAGGAGAGGCCTGATGAGCACAGCAATTCAACCGAAGAAGGTGAGAGAATATTAGGTGCTGTTATTAAATATATCTAATCGTGATTAAAAAAGATAAAATACTAGATTGAAATACAGAAATAAACACACACAGGTGGATTTTACAAGAAAGGGTAGCTTTGTACTATACAACACTCACATTGTTACATGGTTAATTTAATGATAATGAATAAATCTAGATATTAAATGCGCGTTGCATTAAGGGTGTTTTTAAAAATAAAAACATTTAAAAATCATAAAAACCAAGAGCGTGAAGAAGCTAGATGATGGTAAGACGTACAGTCAAAAAGTCAAAAAGTAAATTTCTTGATTTTCCTTTTTTTTTCTGCCTAGAAATTACACCAATGTAAAAGATTTATTTTTGACAGAATAGATTCCTGCTTCAAATTTTATTTTGAGATAAGAAAGAAGAGACAGGGATATTATACGCACATGTAATTTAAGGCCTGGAGGCGTTGTTTAGAAACTCCGAACATTACACCTTTTATTTGTAGAAAGTGAAACTCTTTTGTTCCATTTGTTACTAATCAAGCGTTCCATACCTTCCCAGATGATTGTAATTCTATTGCAACGCAAAAAATATGGCGAACAATTTCACTCTCAGCTCCACAAAAAGAGCAATTCTTTGACCTTGCAGTAAAAATTTATTCCAGTATGACTTCATCGAAGGCACATAGTCGGTCGGCGTGAAGATGCATAAAGCTCGAATTATCGTTTTCATAGACTTTGGTTGAGAGAAATTCCAAAGTTTTCTTCAATTTTGCCTG